TCGGTTTTAGGTCGGTCTTCGGTTTAAGCAAATCCTCAATGTCCACAAATTTCATAGAAAATAAACTCATGCACAAAGACACAAAAATAACCCAGAAAAAAACGTTAGCGCAGCTTGAGGCCATAATTTGCGTTCCTCGAGCCGAAATAAAGGCCCACAGGCCACATAGAGTTCGTGGGAGAAGTTAGCGTTATAAGGAGAATATTTTAATTTAAAACCAGTAAGTGCTAAACCTCAATAAGTACCTTGAAAACTTATCTCCAACAAAAAAATCCAGGGAAATTTTTGCGTGGACCCGCGGGCCTGGGCAGGGCGGCCGGGGCCACGCGTTCCCTGGGTGAAATGGAAGAGGGAAATAAGCGAAAAGAGCGCAGAAAAGGGGGGTTGGGCCCCCCTTTTCGCCATTTCCTATAGACGGGGGAGAACGGCCATGGCAGGGAACGAGAGTGAGGGTAAAATCCGGAGACAGCAGAGAAATCTAGAAGAGTTCACCGGGGCTTGCCGAAGATGAGAAAAAACGAAAAGGCACACACGCGCACGGCGTGGCTCTCCAAATCCGCTTTTGGAAGTTAAAAATCAATTAGGGAGGCGGCTTTGAGGGGGTGTGATTTTCGTTAATGCGGGGGAGGAGCGAGTTGGTTAAAGGAGAGGATCCAGAGCTCCTGCGCATAATTTCCAGTAGGGCCTGGACTGATAGCAAAGCCCTTTTAGGAAGGCTTCATGCCTCTAGAGAATATAACACAAAAGGAAGGCAAGAGAAAAGAAAGAGGGAAGAGAGCGAGCGAGAGATAAAGAGCACCAGTTAGAGCGGAATGTTTGGAAAAGGCCATACAACTAGCGAACTAGATAAGCAGAGATAAATGAGTACGAGATCGAGCGGGAAAAACGATTGACAAAGTTATACGAATTACGTATTACCGCGAATTAATTACACAGCACAAAAAGTGCCGAATTCCCACGATAATAGCACTATGCCCTCGCTTTCGACGGCCTAGTTTTTGGTAACCAGGTGAAAACTTTTCAACGGCCAGTGATCATTTTGGGAGCAATATCAAATTCGAGAGAATGGGGGCGAGAGAGAGAGAGAGAGCGCGAGAGAGATAAAAAATTCCCGCGGTAGGGTTAATAGGCGGTTCGCCCTTCAATCACAAAAAGCGATCCCGTTCCGAGATCGATGATTGGGACCGGGAAGTTGAATGCGGCCCGAAACCGTCCCAAAACCAGGATATAGTTTTGTTTCGAGGTGTTGCTGGTGTGGGCAAAATTGCAACGCGATGTGATTGGATCATGGAGAGCGAAAACCAAAAACGGGGCGTTGACCATATTGGGTGCAAGAAGAAAAGAAAAATAATTGACTTTGCGCCGGGCAAGTACGAGTTAGGGGGTGACGGAAGAAAGCTTGCATTTGTAATAAGCATCTACAGGTAGTCCAAACGTAATAAGTTTTCTGTCCGTTAAAATGTGAAAATTTTGATCAAACTCCACCCTAAAGATGTAGCATTATCACCCCACTCGCGTGATCCGCAGATTGGCACCAATGCCCGAAATGAGCTCACGAATCCGGGTGATTTGCGAGTGGGCGGGGCTCAGGAAGGATTAATCTTGTAATGATTTTCCTCCGCCCGCGCCCGGGTTATCTTTTATCAGCGAAACCTACGTTCCGCGACCACCGAGGGACTGGTCCCCTATGAAATTTTCCCAGCTATAGGAGGCGCGAATCGCACAGATTTTTGCACAAAACAGAATGTCTCCTGAGAAATTTGATCTTTGAATCGGAGAAGTTGGTGATGTTAGAAAGTAGAAGCGCTTTTTTGCGCTGAACAAAGACCGAACGAAAAACGTAACCCACGCACGTTATAAGCAGGGTTACTTGAACATACAAAGCCGTATGAGGACGTAACCAGCTTGGCCAAACCAAAATTAAAACTCGACTAAGAACGCAACCACAGCTAGCCATTTAAAAGCTTTGAAAGATAGCCAAAAGTCTGAATTTTTGGTGCAGGTTTTAGTCCATATTTTTGCAATTAAGATCCGGACTTTCCGTAAATTGATATTTTTTGGATCAGAATCTGAACAGTTTGTTAATAAAACATGCGGAAAAATCCCGATTTGGGCCTTTTCTGGCAGCGAGACCACAACTTTTGGAAAGCCATTTGAGAAAACACTGCTCGGACAGAGCGGAAGCGGATTATCAAAATTTGAATTTTGGGAGAAAAAAAGCGTCACTTTTGTATGAAGATGCCAAAAATTTGGTAAAATATTGCGGAATTTCGACAATATGAGAAGTCTTCGCTTGCCCAGAGCTTTCGATAAATACCTAAATCGTAAAAAATCGTATGAGAAAGCTGAGGACGGCTAGTGCCTGCGGAACTTTTCGGGCCACCCTGTAAAAAAGCATAAAATCCGGAAAGCCCTGAAAAAATGAATATAATAGGATTATCAGCTCCATGATGCAAATAGTGACGTGCCCCTCTTTACGCGCCTGGATAATATTGTTGGGGGCGGCACCCTGGTGCGATTTATGCCACCACCCCAGGCTACCCCATACCCCCTTGGGGCAATCAACTAACGGAACAGACTCCAAATTGCCTCGTGCTGGCTGCCATATCGCCCGTACACCAATGTTTACCCCCGGGGTACTGCCATCGCAAGGCTCGCAAATTGGCACCATGACCGCCGGTGATCTATGGTGCCGTTTGCATAGCTGCTGATGGGGAACGGCCAGGGGCGTACGAGGGGGGCAACAGGCGCAAGTTGCCCCCCCCTCCCAAAATCGGCCGAAGGCCGAAAAGTTCATAAGGGGGGACCCTTATGATTTTTTCAATAAAAATTTTTCTGCCTGCGGCGCTGTTTATTACTGTTTTTAAAACGGTTTTTACTTCTATGAAGCCTATTTTTCCAAATTTTTTTGCCTGCGGCGCTGTTTTTCATTAGTGTGTCAACTGTCCATATAAAATTTTGGCCTGCGGCGCGTTTTTTGTGATTTTTTACATGAATTTGAGCGTTTCTAACGCTTTTTCCTGATTTTTTGCCGCCTGCGGCGCTGTTATAGCTGCGATTTTTGAATGTTTAGAAAGTGGTGACCGGGGCGGGGGTGGGGAGGTCGACAAAAAATTTTCGAGTTGCCCCCCAAAATCGGGTTCGTCTACGCCCCTGGGAACGGCTATCAAATTTCGGGAAATTTATGTAGGCGGAATTTGGTACGTACGGTAAATTACCGTAGCATGAATGTGCGAGGTATTAAACGAATGCATTGGTTGTAAATTTGGTTGTCAAGGGCCCTGGAGTCCGTACTATTATTAAACCCCCTTTTTAAATAAGGTCCATCTGAAAATCCTACTGTAATATTTTCCGAATTTCGCATTCTACCGTATACCCTATTCTAGTATTCTAGTATAACGTGTACGCTGCCATTTAAGTTCCAAAAAGCTCAAAGGAACGTTTTCAGAGCTAAAAACGTAGAAAGATTAAGGCTGAGAAGAACAGGAAGAAACCAATGTAAGCCTTCGTTATGAATTCCGTTCGATTTAAAAAAAATAACTATTCCGAAATCCTTTAAGAAGTTGAAACAAGCGCAAAACATGAAAGAAAGCACTGAAAAATCGCTCGCTCCGGAAAGGGTGCGACGCAAAGAAGACGTGGGAAAGGAGTGGTCCGTCGTAGCGCGATGGTGTAAGCGTGAATAAGAATATGTCTTCCCCTATCGAAACATATACGCTGCCATTTTTATCAAACCACAACATACCAGAAAATTTGCATATCGTAACGAGAGAACGTTGTCTCTAAAATCATGGTGTCAGAGAAATCATTCCAGCTCGGGTTATAGCCCGAATCGAATCGCTAGGCCAAAACGTGGACAATATGATTTTTTGAACAAGTAACTGTAAAAACGTTGAGAGCGTTTTATGGTTTATGGTATCATTAAAGGGAAAGTGTTAGCAGTCGCTCGTCATCTGCGCAACCGACTCCCTTAAGTATCACATTTCCTGCTGGCCACCTTCTGACCTCGTCTAGCCGTTCCCTGGCCCAAGTACGCAGACGACGACCCTAAAAAAGCGGTGAGCAAACATTAGTTGGGGGCCCATCTTTGACGCCACTTAAACTTTGAGGACCCATCCACACCCCTCGAAGTACATACACTTTCTCTCTTTCGAAATCCGGGCGACGAGTTCAGCTGGGGACTGATCTTGAGGAGGCACACGTTTCTACAAGGAGCGTGTTCTCTGAATTGCGCCAATTTGGATGTTCTAGGTTTAAATGGAAGCTATAGTCGACGATTTTCTCAAAACAAAGTTACATTTCTCCAAAAACCTCGATGCCCTTATCCAGATCGTCGTCACGTTGCTTTGTCTTGTTGACACACTACTTCAGATCGTCGTCACACTGCTTCAGAATGTCGTTCACCTCTCCCGATAGCCGTCGAAATTCTTCAGGGAATCATCATTTCTCTTCAGATCGTCGTCGCACTTCTTCAGAACGCCTTCACACTTTTCAGATCGCCGTCGCCCTTTTTCAGAATGGCTGTTGCACTTCCTCAGATCGTGGTCAAACTCTTCAGGACATCGTCACACTACTCCAGATCGTCGTCAAACTTTTCAATCTCTACATCGCATTTCTTCTGATCGTTGTCCTAGCGCTTCAGATCGTTGTTCGACTTCTCCATGTCGTTGTTACACTTCTACTTGCTACAGGCCGCTTCTGAGACTATTTAAAGAGCCAGTTTTTCAAATGGACAGCTTCCGACGTTTTATTCGTCAATTTATCAAAAAAATTGCTACCAACACCACTTTTTTTCGCTATCGTCCTGTACGAATCGGGATAAACCAGAGCCGCGTCGGTCTTTTTCAAAAAATTTTGCTCCGGTAGACCGCCGAATTTTGGAACAGGGCGAGAGTGAATCTCGATGAGTTCCGGCGGAAGGTGGGCTCGAAAGCGCGGCTCGAATTCGGAAACAGGGAGTAGTATAAAGTAAAGCATCTACTCTTCTCTCCCATTCAACCATGCGGCCCATTCTTTTAGCTATATTCGTGGCTGTAGCCGTTGCCGACCTTGTCGACCTCTCCAACGAGAAGCCGGAGGAGGCCAAGAACGAGCCGCCAGTGAAGCCGAAAGGCCTGGGGCCGGTTGGACAGTTTGATGAGGAGCACCTGCCCGTCGAGGAGCCCAAGGATGACTTGGAGGAGCGCAAGCTTCGCTCTAGCCCGACTGGTAGCCGCCTGCCGGGAGGTGACGATCTGCCGATGGCCGGTCCCGACGGTGAGGAGATCCATGTGCGGAACTTTGCCGATCGCATCGAGAGCGGGACAGATATGGATTTCTGGATGCGGATCACGTGTAGCGTTTGCGAGGTGGGAAATGCTATTAAATAGAATTTTTTTGATATTCATGCCTATTTTCGAAAATCACTTTTAAGGAGCTCGCTATTGAAAGGAAATTTTTTGGAAAAGTGATGTAGAATTTTGTAAGAGCGAATTCCAAAATCACGAAATGTCAGAATGCCGTAATGTTCTTAAAAAACTTTTTTCCCTCCTTATCTCTACTTTCGCTCTCTCTCTCTCTCTCTCTCTCTCTCTCTCTCTCTCTCTCTCTCTCCCTCTCTCTCCGGTCTCTCTCTATCATTCTCTGTCGCTCGCTCACTTTCTCATTCTCTCACGCCCTCTCACCTCCCTCTCACTCTCTCTCTTCCGCCCCTCTCTCTCTCGCGCTCTCTCTCTCTCTTACGCTCTCTCTTTCTCCTTCTCCCGCTCTCGTTCTCTTTCATTCCACTTTTTCAGCGTACCATCAAAGAGGCCCGGCAACACTTCCCGAATTCCCACTCCGTCTCCTATTCCGAAAACCGTAAATGGCTCTGGGACAAATGCATGAACTATGGCGCGTTCTGGGAGAAGGAGCATGAGGGCAAGAAGAAGCAGGAGGTACCTCGCCATCCAGATACCTTTAAGCCCTCAATTCTAGCAATTCGTCTGCGAGCAAATTTTCAAGCACCGCTACAGCGACTTCGACAGGGCCCTCGACCTCGCCAAGCAGGGCCGACACAACGAGATTTGCAAGATGGCCAAGTGCATCGATTTGAAATTGTGAAGGGAATAAATTTGGCGTGATTTCGTAAGAATAAAAATGGGATGCAAGAACGTGAAGGTTATTTACATACAAGGCTGAAAATAATTTTGCAATTTTATTTTTTCCCAAGGATAATTTTTTTGCTTTTTTGGCACTGGAATTTTTTATCTACTCGGCGAACTCGTTTGGAATTTGGAACCAAGATGTACTATCTATATCTATAGGCTTACAAGGCTTGTTAGGTAAGGTAAAAGCCTAAAAGGTCAAAGGTCAAAGACGAAACTATACTTTTCTTGGGCTTTAAGCTTTAGGTACGAACGGGTTCCTCCGAAAAGTTCAACAACCCTGGCAAACAATTTTGACTTCTGCAATCCATCTTCCTGCGCTTTAGTTTGCCAACCTGTTCTCTGGTCTACGTTTTTCCCAATCAAAAAAGCCTTTCCAAGGAGCAAATCGAGCAAAACTAAGGCTATCATGAATCAGCTTCTAAAGGTGAACTGTGCAAAATAAGGATTTTTAAGAATCGAGACAGGCAATTAAATAAAGATGATAGGAAACTTTCAATCTAGCTCAAGCAGCACATATTTATTTCCAGCGAAAGGCGCGGTTTCATACATTAAATACAGTTGCAGGAAGTATAGATTTTTCGGTGAATCTGCACGGGACCGCTGCTCGTTCGTCATTCGCCGTCATTATCTGAAAATGGGCCATTCAAGGGCTTCAAGTGCATGCATTTCAAGATGCAGCGAGCGCATCTAGCGGATTAGAGGTCCGAAAATAGACGTAATCTCATACTTATAAAAATGTGACTCTAGGAAAAAAATAGTTTTACCAGATAAGCGTCCTCAGAATGGAAAGAAAGAGTATTCACGACATCACCAGCTCGCAGTGAAACTCCGGAAGTCATGTCTAAAACTATGAAGTTAAAGGTATCGTTTAATAATTTTTAAAGACGATCTAAGACCTGAATATTAATAATATTT